CCGCCCGGGGGCCGCCGCCATCTTGGCCGGTGGGCGCGCGTAATTGGCGGCCGCTGATTGGCTGTGGGCGGGCGAGGGGCAGCGCCGTCCGGGCGCCGGCGGCGCGCGCTTCCGCAGCTCAGGCGCCTTCCGATTGGGAGGAATTGTGGGCATGGTGGTCCGTTCCCGGTGGCTGGGTGAGGGTGCACAGGTGGGAGGGAGGTTGAGATCTACTGACAGCTTTTTACTGAATTTACAACTACAGTCACACGTTACTGAGATTCAGAGTAGTGTGGGTTTCGTAGTTATTTGTCAAGAAGAGGAGATAAAGTTAATTATTCGAAGATGATGGTATGTGTATAGAAAAATTAAAATACGAAAAATTATTACAATAATAAAGGAATTGGCAGGGTTGCTAGACACAAAGTCCATATTCAAAGATAAATCGTTTCAATAAATAGTAACAAACAAAAACAAATTTAAAGAAATGATTTTAAATAAGATAAGGTAGCAAATAATTGCACATAAATTAAACCAAAGATGTCACTCCTACAGACCTTCTTATACTGTTATGGGTTCTGATATTAAATATTGTTACAATTTAGTTCTTCCCCAGTTGATTTATACGTTCAATGCAAATATGCCCGCAGTCTCAGTAGGTTGTGTGTGACAAGATTATTCTAAAATTTATCTAGAAATGCAGAGGGTGGCACCAACGGTTGGCATAAGGGCTACGTTGATGGATTCCCACGTAGCCGACCACAGTCTGAGTCCTGGACCTGGTGACTTAAACTCATGCTGGGCGCGTGTGCGTGCGTGTCCAAGATCCCGAGAGGAGAGTGGAGGAGAAGGGATTGCGGTGTGGCCATTCCCCCCCCCCCAGGGGGATTTCTCGCTTCCCGTCTCTGTCTCTCTTCCTGGTGAGCGCACACACCCTATAGCAAAAAACTCTCCAAATTAAATAAATAAGTAAAGAAAAAGAAAAGAAAAAAATAAAGAGGGCAACAATATCCAAAAAACCTGAAGATTTCCTGAAGATTTCTTGAAGATTAGTGAGGTTGGTTATTTACGATGCATCAAAATTATATGATGTTTTGGTGGTTAAGATTATGTTAAAATGGTGAAAGAACAGATATACAAGATGGAAGAAACAATAGATAGTCCAGAAACAGATCTCTAAATAAATGGAAACTAGATTCAGAGGTGATCCTCTTGAGCAATGGAAAAAGAACTTTCATAAAGAAGAAGTGCTTGGTCAATGGAAAATGAAAGAAACCATATTCCCAAGTAAAGAGAAAATGGATTATAAATTTAATTGTAAATATACAATAATATTTTAGAAGTTGATATAAATTGTCTTTATGACGGAATGAATTTTAAATAGAAAGAAAAGTTCTTCAACCATAAAGAAAATAATTATAAATTTGGCTATAATAAATTGACATTTGAGAACTTCTGTCATTCAAAGATGACATTAGAAAATGAAAGGCAAAGCACTGATTGGGAGGAAATATTTTTACGATGTATAATTAAGGGACTATATATATATAATATATAGAGAACTGATATAAATTGCTAAGAAAATGATTGATCATTGATAAGAAAAATGGATGAGACACTTGAATGGGAAAATCCAAATGATCAATGAACTTTTGAGAAGATGCTTAATTCCATTTTTAATCAGGAAAATGCACACACAAACCATATCAGAATAGAATTAAAAAGACAATACAGGGATCAAGGAAATAATCCAATGGAAACTGTCATATACTGCTGATAAAAGTATAACTTGGTCCAGCCACTTGGGAAATAATTTTTGATCCAACAATCCCACTTCTAGAAATACATCCAGTAAATATGCAGAGGCTTGTTTATAAAGATAAATTTTATAAAACTGCTTTTGACAGTAAAATTCAAAATTACCCCCAACCGTGAGTGAACCAAATGCCTTTCAAAATTCACATGGTACATATATTGAACTATAATCAGACAGCAAAATAATTACACAAAAAGGAAAATAAACCACAGCACTGTGTACCAGCATGGATAAAGCTCATTAACATAAAGTTGAGGAAAAAGAGGCTGAACTTTCCTCCTTCCCATTGTGTCTCCATAATACTAATAAATAAATCCTCTGTGAATTCTGATAGGCAAATTCAATTATTTTGTTCAAAGGATATAAGCCTGTGTTAAAACTGTAAAGAAAAATCTGGGAAGCAATTATCATGAGTCAGGAAAATGGTTACTCTTGCGATGGAAGGAAGAACAGTAATAGGTAGAGGGAGGGGAGTATCTTAGGTATTTATTGACTTTGTTCATTTTCTTTATTCTGGTTGGGTGTAGGAGTGTTTATTTTGTGATAATTCTTTGAACTGCACATTCTGTTTTGTGTACTTTTCCATGCCTGTATCATACTTATTAATAAAGATCTTTTTTTTTTTTTTTGGAGAGGTTTTTGCTACAGGGTGCATGCACTTGCAAGAAATATGGAGAGAGACAGAGAGATAGAAAGCGAAAAATCACCCCCCAGGGGGGATGACCACACTGCAATCCTTTCTCCTCCATTCTCCTCTCAGGATCTTGAAAATGCACGCACATGCACCCGGCATCAGTTTAAGCCAACAGGTCCGGGACTCGAACCATGGTCAACTACATGGGAGTTCAGCGACATAGCCATTACACTAACTGCTGGTTAGCGTACCAAGAAACTGATATATATTTTTTATCTCTGTAACTTACTCTTTTCAGGCAATCAGTTTCACTGACAGGAACCCTAGAACTAAATTTGAGGCTCAGGTCTAGCAATTATTACATGTATACCATCATGACTAATTCATTCTTTTTCCTTTTACTAATGCTTTTCCTTGCTGCTGTTGTTTCTAACCTACATATATTTAAGCTATCTTTTATAGTTATATATCTACAATTTGATTCGATTGTTTGGAAAACGGTAATATTAAATCTCTCAAATTTCAAATTAATTACTGAACCTTTACCTGTCTAAATTAGTAGAAATATAATTTCTCTCAGGGATTACTCCTACCTATTAACATATCAAAAATACTGTAAGCATTAAAAAAATGAAAAAAGATTTAACTAACACAAAGAAATGCCAAACTCACATTTATAAAATAGCTAAAGAAATTACAAAAATGTAACGATGCTTATAGGAGTAATAGCTGTGTAGTAATCTTTTAAAGCATAGTCATTCTGTAAATAACTGGAGTGAGTTCCCATAACTGCTGAAATTCTGTATTGTCTCAGTAACCGTAGTAAAAAGGAATAACCTTAGCCTAAAGTACAGACATGTGTTATCGTAGAACACCTGGAATGGTTGTAATATGTAACATTATGTGGCAGAGGTACTATCATAAACATTACTTTGAAAGTTACTTACTTTATACAATCTCTTACAGTTCTAAATATACTTTCTCTTATTAAATGTATTTCCCAAGTATAATTTTTGAAAAAAGTATAGTATAATCAACTTGTTAATCAATGTTTTTTTTCCTTTTTCTTTTTTGCCAGAGGGCATATGTGCTCACCAGAGAGAGACAGGAAGTAGAAAGGGAGAGGGAAAGTGAGAAAGCACCCCCATGGTGGATGGTCATGCTGTAATCCCGTCTTCTCTCCCTCCTGTTTGGATTTTGGACACACATGCACATGCACCCAAAGTGTTTTTCAAGCTGCTTGATATGGAACTTGAGCTGCAGAGTCAGTCATTTAGGATCAATATAGTTCAAAACTCTCAAACATAGCATTTCTAGGCATTTGAATAATTTAAACATATAAGTGAAGTTTTAGAACTAAAAACTCTTTTAAAGACCAAAGTAAAACTCTTTCTTATTTTTCTACAGACATTATTCATAAATTTGATGGTGATTATTAAGCCAAAAATTGAGACTGAAAATTTGTGTTGCTAGGGAGCCTCTATGCATGTGATTGCTTCTTCACTTGTAGTATCACGATATTATCTACTGGATCAATGGCTAACTCTGTGGTATTTGTTTCAAGAAGAAACTACAACATCCTGGTTATGTAATTATATTTATGTTATGTACACAGAGCTCCAGCTCCAAATTTATTGGGATACAATTGGCAGAATCAATTGGTTAAATAAGCAACAAAATGAGTAAAGGTCCTCACCCCCCAGCCTTGTTACTATATTTCTTCCCCAAAATGCACTCGGGTAAGTCCTGGGCCCCTCTTTGCTTAGTCCTGACCTACTTGCAATTGTAACTGGAACCACCTACCGTGCTTAACTGCTCTTTCAATAGCCATTGCCTAGGCAATTGAGTCTGGCCAGATGGTCCCAGTGAGGCAAAAGTGAGTGGACTAGAGTAGGCACCTGACTCTAGGAACCAATTTATAGGCTGGGTATCCACCCTGTCACAAAAGTATACATCGAGACGATCATATTGTCTTTTGGAAATCTGAATTAAGCACTTGCTATAGCACTCTATGTAAAAGGATGGGTAGCCAGAAACTAAGAAGCCAGCTGAGAGTGGAACAGAAGAAGGAGCAAAACTGTGCAGACTGAGAACCACTGGGATGAATACCTATGGAGTCCTAGAAATCTAAAGCCATTTGGCTCCAGTGTCCTAGGCCAGTTTCCATTGTGATTCTAATCATTTTCCTTTCTCTTTCAGTGTGAGCCCTTACAATAATTTTCCTTTCCTTGTGCTACTTAAGGTAGATGGTCTCTATTCCTTATATTCCTACAAAAGCTGAACTAAAGCATAGCAAAAATGCTATGCTAGATATCAAGAGTT